GTGTTAGGAGATGGATTCTTTCTTCACACGGAGTAATTAAAGAGCTCTGGAAAGTGACGAGGGAAAAGTTCAAAGGAACAACGCTGACCTGATGAACATGATTTCAATTTCCACAATATTTTCTAAGAAATCTTACCGTGCTCTTGACATGTTAAGAGCTGTGCCTGAAAGATGAAAGAAAAAATTTCCTAGCAAAATTTCCATGGGGAGAGAACCCACTTGGAAATTATCCTTTTATACTCTTCTGAGCGGAAGCACCAGGAGAAATCCTGTACTGTGATACAGGTCACACAGCCTGTGTTCTGCTTCATGGGCCTCGTTTCCAGTCCAGCAGCACAGTAATGGTGATTCACCAGTCTGTGACTGCTGGGAAACATTGAATTTACTTTGTGATTCAAAGTAAATGAATGGCAGTACACATTTGTAATCCCAGAACTCGGGAGGCTGAGGCAGGAGATCAGTGTAAATTCAAGGCCAGCCTAGGATACAAAAGTGAGTTTGAGGCCAGCCTGTACACCATAGTGAGACCCTGTCTCAAAAAAGTAATAAAAAGAAAAGAAAAAATCTTGGGGCCGGGGAGATGGCTCAGTGGAATAAACAATTCCCTGGCAAGCACAAGGGCCTGAGTTCAATCTCTGGTTCCACCAAAAAAAAAAAAAAAAAAAGAAAAAATCTAAGTAAAAGAATTTTAAATAAATACCAGTGTTAAGTGAAATTCTTTAAAAGGTCCAATTACTGCAAGGAACTCAGACTGTCATACTGGCTACCTGGATAATTCTAGCCAGATGAATTAACATCCTTGGGCCTCCAATTTGACATCTGAAAAACCCAGGATAACTTTAGTACTCACCTCATAGCAGTGTGATGAGAATGAAGAGAAAATAGGCTCAATTGGTACAAGGCAAACGACCAAGGACTGCTACCTATGGTCACGACAGAGGACGGAAGAGGCTGAGAACAGCTGAGCCTCTGGCTTAGTTTACGTTTTATCTAATTCCAGTGAGCTACAGTGAAGACGCAGTCTACATCTAGACCACTTACGTTCAAACAGTGTTCTGTTCAGTAAGTCTACATTTAGTTTTGTTTCTAATCACTGATAGCTTAAAGAATTCAAAAGAAAGTTGTATTTACATGCAGTATTTACCATTTATTTTGTATTTCCTTCATTATTGATCTTCCAAGTTCTAGTGTTATCTCCAACAGAAAAACTTTAACAACTCTCTCAGAAATCTTGAAATAAATTCTTAGTTTCCTTCCACATGAGAAACCTTATGCCTCCTTCATTCCTGAGGGCTACTTTCTCAAGACACGGAATGGGGTAGACAGCGCTTTCCACTGAGCACTTAAAAATCTCAGCACTTCCCGCCGGCTTCCATGGTTTCTGATAAGACATGATTTCAATCGCTGTTGCTCTGTGCTATGCATTACTGTTCTCTGACTGATTTTTTGAGATTTCTCCTTTTTGTTTGGTCTTTAGTCTTTAACAGTTTGAACTGATCACAGGGAGCTCTGAGTTTATCATGCTGGCATTTGCTAAGGTTCAGAGATCCACAGGGTGATAACTTTCCTTAAAACTGAGAAAGAGCTAACATTTATTCAAATACTTTCTTCTACACTCCTCTTTCTTCTCTCCTTCTGACATTCCAGTGACTTACTGTTTTGGATATTCTGGTGTCACCGCACAAGGCTCCAGAGCTTGGCTTAGCCCTTCCTCGCTTTGTTGTTCACATCAGATGATTTCTGTCCACCTTCAGTTCACTTCTCCCCACTCTCCCTGTAAGCTCACCCCGTGTGAGTCTCCTGGCCATTGGGTTTTTCATTTCTTCCATTTTTGTTGACACCTTCTATCTTTCCGTTTGTTTTCAGAATGGTCAGTTTTATTTGCTGGAGCATTTTATAATGCCTACTTCATTCAGTACTGAGTGTTCAAACAGGTTAGTGTACACAGTACTTATATAATAGCTGCTTTAAAGTTTTTGTGAGATAATTCCAACCATCTGTATCATATTCATGGTAGTATCTGTTGTCCTTTCTCTGGTGAGCTGGAATTTTTCTGGGTTTCCGTTTGTTTGATTTGTAAACTGAGTACTTTTGGATTCTATGTGGAATATTTTAGATAGAATATTATGAATCTGTTTAAGTACTACGGAGAATGTTCTGTTCTGGTTATGTGCAGGTTTCAACGTACTTCCCCTGGTTGGTCCCTGCTTTCCTGTTTTCCAAGCCTCCGTCCTGCCTGTGCCCACTTGGTGGCTGGCCTGAGCCCTAGACAGTGGTCAGCCCCTCGGTGCACTTTGCAGGGCCCATGGTGTGCTCTTTAGGATCAGATCCATGCACAAGCAGCTGAGGAAGCCCATGAGCTCACAACCCACATGTGCGTGACTTCCAGAGCTCCTCCTCTCTGTGATCTCTCCAGTATCTTCTGTTTCCCAGAAACATCCCTTTTCTGTCCTTTGGCCAGGGAACGGGGACTTACTTCTTCCATTCCACTGTATAATTCCCAACAAGATACCCAAACCTGGGGCCAAGCAAGGAGAGGACAAAAACAGAAAAAAGTAAGAGTTTAGCCTACCCTCTTAAGAATATAGCTTCTCCAATTAAAGGGGACATCTCTCCTCCCTCAGTCTGCAAGACTCACAGACCCCACTGCCACTTCAAGGCCACAAGAAAACAGACCTTTTTTTGTTCTTTGTTTTTGGTACTGGGAATCAAAAGGAAGACCCTATGCTTGCCAGGTAGGCACTTGTGCCACTGAGCTATATCCTCAGCCCAAGACCATTTTTTTTTTTTAAGCGATGTCCCATCCTCTGAACTGAGCATTAGGAGATCCCTTTCTCACCCCTGAGCCACACCCAGAAAGCTCCTCCTATAGCTCTTTCTGCCCAGGCCAAGACCCACCTCTGGGTTTAGGGCTTGCTGAATCCATTCCAGGAGAAACTAAAGAACACCTGAAAGAAATACTGTACCTTGGTTCACAGACTTAATTTGTTTTATGGTTTGGGGGAAAATGGCCATGTTTATATGGAGATGGGCAAATTTATCTGTTACCTGATGTGGAGTAAATGGAAATAAAATTTTGCAAATGGAAATAAAATTTTGTCCAAAGCATTGATTTGGGAACCAAAATTGTGAACAAAAGTGTTTGTGAACCCAGGTGCTACAGTGTATCAGAATGGTGGTGCTCAAATTTTGACCTTCTTCCCCAGTTTGTCTGCTACCATTCTCTTCTCAGAGACCTCAAATTCCTGCTCTGGGGAGGCTGTCCTTGTTTTCTAGCAGCTTTCATAAGAAATTCAAGGTGAACCCCAGCCACATAGCTCAGCAGACTAAAGCACCTGCCTAGGCAGAGCACAGTGGCCAGGGTACAGGGCTCACTGAGACAGTGATTGAGACTGGGTGTGGTGGCACTTGCCTATAATCCAGCTCTTGGGAAGTTGAAAACAGGAGAATCACTATGAGTCCAATCTACATAGTGAGGCCCTGTATACCCTGTAGACCCTGTCCTAAATTCATTAAAAAAAAAAAAAAGAAAAAAGAAATTCAAGATGGACTGTGTTTAGCCCACCTTACTGACTACCAGGACCCTTTGAAATTCAGTGTGAGTGATTAGTTTCTAAATTATTCTATTAGGAATAAAAAGCATCTTGATGTTCAGTGCTTCTTGTTTATCATATTTAACACTGTTTTTGTGTGTGCATAGAAAATTATTTTTTCAATGATAATCAAATACTAACTTTATAACTGATGTTTCTACAGTGCTTTGCACATGCCAGATACCTCTACCTCAATACCTGAAAGATATTAATCCATTAATTCTGACAACAGTCCCCTACATTAGCTACTGTTACTCTCTCTACCTGATAGTTGAAGTTAAGGCAGTGTAGCCCGTATGCAGTGGGCCTTAGCACAGGGAGTACACTTGCTACATTTTCACTTCTTTCACAGACTAAAAGGTCCCTGCAAGCCAGGACAGAGCCTGAGGAGCCAGGCACAAAGTGACACTCAATTTCCTCCAAGGTCAATACTTTTGCTTTGTCAATGCCTGCGAAAACACTGAGGGGAAAAAAATGGAGGGCTCAGACTGAATTGTTTCTTGAATAAAAGATAGCAAGTATTGGCCAGCAAGAAAGCTCAGCGGACTAAGCGCCTGCTTTGGCAAGTGCAGGGACCAGGGTTTGATCCCCATTCCTGCATGCTGCACTGGCCCCGCTGTAATCCCGGTGCTGGGGAGGCTGAAAACATGAGTCTGAGCTGCATAGTGAGACACCATATGAAATACATTAAAAAAAAAAAAAAAAAAAAGACACCAAGCAGGAAGAGGAAGAGCCTCTGAGGAGACCAGGCTGTCTGAATCTCTATGTTTGCATGATGCAATAGATGCAGAGGAAATCACAAGCAGGTCCACAGCAGAGCTCTTCAATAGACAATATTCAGAAATAAATATTACAAATCCTGAAAAGCAAGACTTTTAGTGGAGAGAAATGCTAACTCACTCACCAGAGACATGGCTTTAACCAGCTCAATCCCTGTCAGTTCCACCTCTTCCTTTCTCTTCATGTGGAGAAGAATGCTATCCTGAGAGCACAGAGCTAAAGGAAGACAAGGAAATTGTAAGACCAACCAGCACTACAATTCCAGCCTACAAACCCTCTCGCCTGGCTTCCTCTTTTTTTATCTCCCCTCCACACCACATACCAAGTACTCACTGGGAGGCCTATAGCTTGCAACTGGGATTTGCCTCTGCTCTAGGATTTCAGGCTAAACACAATGGCTGTCAAAGTCACTCATTCGGCATCAGCAATATATGAAGTACATTGTATATATTATATACTTGTAATATGTTAACATAAACATGAATCTTCTAATCACAATCTTCAAACAAAGCAGGGAATACTGTCACAGATAAAATCTCTGCGAGGTGGAAATGTATATAAATCATATAGTGTATAATAGTGAGAAAAAGTCATCAACCTGTATCTGTCTGACTCCACCAACCAAGTTATTAGCCCAAGAAAACGCCAGAAAAATATATAAAGAGCAGGACGTGTACAGACTCTATGAGCTGAATTTCTTGGAGAATCCCATCATGCGTGGAGAAGGGCCTTACCTTTGATACAACAAAGGTATCTATTGATATATTCTCTATTGATTTCAGAAAAATGGACCAAGACATTGTCATGAGACCCAAGTTTTTATTTTGCTTTCTGACAAATTATTATATTGATGGAGTTCCTTGACTACCCCCCCAAGCCATTCCTTTTCATCAAGAAGAGGATGAATTTTTACTTCTTTCCTCCATCATCGTCTCAAAGGATATTATAATTAACACACAGCCAGGAGTGGTGGTACACGTCTGTCATCCCAGCCCTTGGGTGGCTGAGGCAGGAGGATCACCAAGAGTCCAAGGCCAGCCTGGGCTACATAGTGAGTTCAAGGCCAATGTGAACTACATAATAAGATCCTGCCTCAAAAAACACATAAATAAAAGTAAAGAAGGAACACATATTGAGAGTGATAAAGTTTAAGAAATCCCCAACCTTGTTCTGTAGAGATAGGATCTGAACTCTTATTTAACCATCTCAAAGTTCTTCCACCGTCCAAAGTGTCTAAGAAAACCTACCTTAGGCAGTCATTCAAGGTCACAAGACAGTCTGCAGTGAATGGCTCTGGGGACAGCCTGTCCTGGATCTGGATACGGCGATTATTTTTCCTGTTGCAGTTTTTTTTTTTTCTTTTTTTGTTTGTTTTTTAAAAGATAGTTACTACAAGGTAACCAAGAGGACACTGAGGCAACCACAACAGAGCAACTGAACAAAGTCACAAAAGAGAACTCCCAGAACTGCTTCATAAAGTGTTTTTTTTTTTTTCAAAATTTTATTGTTCATAAAGTGTTAAGGATGGGTAAGTGTGGTGGAAGGGCGGGGTAGTATTTGGAGGGGGATTAAAGACGATGACTCTTCTGCAGTAATACCTTTTTAAATTTAGACATGCACCCTATTCAAGCACCTTTGAACTTCATAATGTAAGGACTGCAACTAGTGCTTCCAAAAGGCCTTAGTCTGGGTGGTCTGACACATAAGAGGCACTCATTAAATCTCTCTTCGGTTGCACACAGCAAAGCAAGCACAAAGCAAGACAGGGATGGCCAGCAATTCTTCTCCCTCTCTAACGACTAGAAAAGTTTCAGAAACGGGGATAGAAGGTGACTGCCCATAAAAGGAATGGAATTCCTTGCCGCTTCTGAAGCTGTGCCTGTCACCCACCTCTCAAGTCTCCTCTCAAGATAAAATCTGACAAGGAAAAACGAAATGCTCAAGAGCAACACAGCACCAGGAGTCCTGTTCTGGCGCCGAGTACTCCGCGGATAGGCAAGAGGCGGAAGTGGGCTGGAGAAGGCCTGGTTAGTCCCTCTCGGAACTCACCGTCACAGTCTGCTCCGTCAGCTCCGACTCCAGCGTCCACTCAGAGGCTAGGTCCCCGGCCCAGCACGCAGACCCCCAGGCTCCGCATCCCCAAACCTCAATGCCCACTTCCGGCCGCACCCGGCCCGCCCGTCGCTCTCCCTCCGCGTCCCTAGCTCCTCCTCCTCCGGCAGGACGCTGCCCTGCAGCGCACCCGGGCGCGGGACACCCGACGGCCTGTGCGGCTGCTCCAGGGCGCCCCTACCGAGGGTCTCCGGCCCTGACAGCAACCGTGGAACTCGAGGGGCACGCACGTCCCTCCTGCCCCCAGCAAGCCCCACAGCCCCCGCGCTCCCTCAGACCAGGACGCCGCCACTAGCTCCTTCCACGGCTCCCTTCTTAGCAACTTCCTTCCGCGTTCTCGGACTCAACTTCCGGTCCGCGGCGGAAATAGCGGGTCCCTACCGCAAGGGACGCTGGGAAATAACATCCCTGATCGGCCCTGGGAACCTGAGAGAGAGTCCAGGTCCTCCCTTCCGATGCAGTCTATTGACCGCTTACCCCTTTCTCTGCTGGGAGAGGTCCAAGAAGGCGCCCACCTTCAGTCAGGCTCAGGGTTATATTCTGAGTGACTAAAGAGTATTTGGTATGTAGGATTTTAGTTTTAAAACACTCAGCATTAGCGTCTGATGATGACAGCATGTTACACACTGCACTCTCCCAGTTATCAGATGCTGAAACCCTAAGCTCCAAGTGATGCTATTAGAAGGTGGGGCCTTTGGGAAGCAGAAGGCTTGCTTGAGTTCATGAGGGTGGGCTAAGAGGAAGGAGAGGTATCCATGCTCTCAGCCCCAGAAAGGAAGGCCAGGAGACCCCACAGCAGCCTGAAAGTGAAGCAGACGGCCCTAGTCAAGACCTGAATCTGCCGGCACCTCTGACCTTGACTTCCCGACCTCCAACACTGAGAATGTGCACTGCCAAAGATACCTGTGGCCATCGTCTCGTTATAGCAGACCCAGCTGACCAAGAGCCAGCATCAGGAATGCCGACTAGGCTAATGCACAGCAGCACGAAAGGAGGGCGCTTCCCGCATGAGTCACGTAATCCCACTCAGTGGCGCTGGCGTTGCTGGACCCGATTTCTCTCATGCTTCCTAAACTACATAAGGAAGCTAAGTTTAGCTGTGGGGATGCTTTCTGGAAGGAATATAAATGGCATTTCAGTGCATATAACATTTTTGTGGTTGATGTGGATAAAAAGGACACTGATGTTTTTGTGTTACCTATGATATAAAAAGCTTGGAGGCTTTACTCCAATCCTTGCAACTAGAACAGTAGTCAACAAAATAAAAATCAACAACCATCAAAAATATAAGACACAAAGGAAATAATCACGCTGAAATCATAGCCAAGCCTGGTTTACCTGACACAGAGGTTGCTGGAGCCATATACTGCAGCAAACTCCATTATTTATGCATTTATTGCAATATTGAAGATTACACATAAGGGCTGCATGTTGCGCTACGTTCCCCAGAGCATACATATACACAGGTATATATGTATATACCTGTACATACATCTTGCCTCTTCATTTTCCCCCACTGGGTTCCACTCATAACCTCTCTTCCCTTCTTTATTTAAAAAAGCTAATTCCTAGGTATTTCAATTTTTTAAAAACTCACTTGATACAGGGCCTCACTATGCAGTTCAGACCCCTAGTGATCCTCCTGTCTCAGCCTCTCCAGGGCTGGGATTGCCAGCATGCTCACCACACCTGGTCTCGGGGCCAGCACAGCATGTGAGGACTAGGGAATGAACGCAGGTCCCTGCGCTTGCCAGGCAGGTGCTAGGACCACCAAGCTATCTTCCCAGCCCCAGTATTTCAATTTTTGGATGCTACTGTGAAAGCTGTTATGCTAATTTCTCTCACAGTGAGCTGCTTCTCATCTGTGTATGGGAAGGCTATTATTCTTGAATGCTGATTATGTTTGCAGCGACACAGCTAAATCGGGCTATTAAATTCAGAAGTCTTCTGGTGACGTTTTTGGGGCTTCTGGGTAGAGCATCATGTAATCTGAAAATAGTAATAATATAATGTAATATTTTCCTATCCTTATTCTTTTTTATGCTTATCTTGTCTAATTACTCTGGCCAATAGTTCCATAATTATATTGAGTAAGACTGGTGCTAATGCACATCCATGACTTGTTCTTGATTTTAGACTGAAAGCTTTCAGTTTTTTACCACTTCGTATAATGTTGGCTTTTGGCTATTAGTCTCCATTGCATTAATGTCTGACCTGACATCTATAATTTTTCTCCTTTGTGCAAGTTTTGGGCTTGACTAGCTCTTCTTTTTCTAAAACACTGAGGTTCAACTTAGGTTGTTTATTTACACTCTGTTTTTTTGATAGGAGAATTCATTGGTATAAATATCCTTCATAGGAATGCTTTCTCTATGACCTATAAGTTGTGGTACATATTGTTTTGCATTATCATTTAATTGTAAAACTCTAATATAGTCTTTAATTTCTTCTGTGACCCATTGGCTACTTGGGAGGGTGTTACTTAATTCCCATGTATTTATGAAATTCTTGTAGTTTCTTTTGCCATTCATTTCCAATTTTATTACACTATGGTCTGATAATGTAAATGGGTTGATTTCAATACCTATGTATGTATTTGTCCATACCTTATGAGCTAGTTTATGGTCTGTTTTGGAGAACATTCTGTGTGCAACTGAGAAGAATGTATATTCTGATGGGGTGGGTTGGAACACTCTGTAGATGTCTACTTTTAAGTCCATTTGTTTAAAAGTTTGGTTCAGTTCTAATGTTTCATTGTTGAGATTTTGTCCAGTTGATTTATCTATTTGTGATAATGGGCTGTTGAGATCAACCATTACAATTACATTATGGCTTATTTGATTTTTCGTGCCCATTCGTATTTGCTTCATATAGTTGCATGCACTGATATTTGGCGCATATATATTTATGATTGCTGTCTCTTCTTCTTACATTGTTCCCTTTACAAGGATGTAGTGATCTTGTCTCTCTTAATCACTCTTGGCTTGAAATCCACTTTCTCCGTTGATAGAATAGCTACCCCTGCTGTTTTCTGGGTTTCTGTTGTATGCAGTCTTGTTTTCCATTGTCTGAATTCAGTCAATAACTTTCTTTTTTAATTAAATATGTTGCTTGTATGCAGCATATTGTTGTGAGTTGCTTATTCCAGCCCGTATCTTTCAATTGGTGAATTGAAACCATTAACATTGATGGCCATAACTGATAAATATTGACTTATCCTTATTATGTTATTTTCATGTTGTTGGTTCCCTCTCTCACTGCCCTCTGTTCAATCACTTGTCTCACCTGGTAGATTGATTCTGCTGAGGTTCATGAGTTGTAGTCCTTGTTATCTCTTTCTATAATATTCTTTAGAACATTTTAGAGTGCTTATTTGGTGGTCATAAATTTTCTCAGATGTTCTTTTTCATGGAAGTATCTTATTTCTTCATCACTTTTGAAAGATAATTTTTCAGGGTACATCAATCTCTATTGGAGAGTATTTTCCTTTAGGGCTTCAAATACTTCACTCCAAATTCTCCTTGACTTGAAAGTTTGTGTTTAGAAGTCTGCTTTGACTCTGATGTGCATTCCTTTATAGGTAGCTTGTTTCTTTGCTGTAACATCTTTTAATATTCTTTTCATGTGTTCAGTTTTTGGAATCTTGATGGCTACATGCTAGGGTGCAGATCTTTTATGATCATGGCAAACTGGAGTTCTATGTGCCTCACTTATCTGCATATAAAATTCTTTTTTTCCTTCTTGGAAAGTTTTCTGCTTTTTTTTGGGGGGGGCCAGCTCAGCCTACCCTGAGGGTGGGGCTAGCGCAGCATGTGGTGCTGGGGATTGAATCGTGGTCCCCTGTGCCTGCCTAAGTTTGCCTAAGTAGGCTCTTTAGGCCACTGAGGTATCTTGCCACCCCTGCCATTACTTCTAGAAACAGTGGTTTTATGAGTTTTTTTTTTTTTTTGGTGCCATCTCCTGATTTTTCATGGATTCCAATCAATCTTACTTTATTTATTTCTGATTTTTCATGATCCCTTGCTATTTTTGAGAGCTCTTTCTTTTCATGACTGCTGACTGCAATCTTGTCCCTTATATCTGCTCTTCTGTCTTCACATTGGCTCATTCTGCTGTGTACAATTTCAATGGAAGTTTTAATCTCCTGGACATTTGTTTTAATCTCTTTTGTGGATTTCAGTACTTTCCTGTGTTGGGTATTCATGCTTTCCATCATTTTCCTAAGCTCTTCTATTTTTTTTTAAATCTATCTATACTCCACGGCCACTAAGCACCTTTTTCTTTTTCTTTTTTAAAAAATTTTTTATTTATATTTTTTTCTTTTTTTGTGCATGTGAGGAAAGGTTTATTCTGTCTCAGTTTATAGAGGTTTCAGGCCATAGCCAGTCCCTCCAGGCTAACTCCGAGGCAGAAAGGCATGGCAAAGGAACGCCTCCTGGCGCTATGGGGAAACAGAGCGAGGAAGGAGGAGGCTGCACTGCCCTTCCCAGGCGCATCCCCAATGACCACCCCAGCCTCACTTCTCCCACTGTCACGTCTAGCTGTAAACTTCTTAGTGGACTCATCCACCGAGTATCACATCCATAATCAACCACCTCCCAGAAGTACCACCTGTGAGCCCTTCAGGTTTTGAGGAAAAATCTAATTATAAACTATAACACCATTGTGTGACTTAGGCTGAAGGGGACAGAAGCAAGACACAGTTACTTGGCCTATTCTCGTCCAAGCATTTCTATACAAAAAGATGTCCACAGAGCCTTCATCACCACACAACCATTGACCGAGGACTGTGTCTTTCACTATGGTCACCGTCTCTGTCATTATCTGAGAAATTACTTCTGCTTTGATTTTTTTCTAGAGGCTCATTCGTCTGTTTGCTATTCTGCTGTTACCACTTCAGAGAATCCAGGTTGTGGCTTTAGAATTGTTCCACTTCATTATCCGTGGGCTTGCCTTGGGCGAGCTGGACGTCTGGGGCTGCATCATGCTTAAGTGTCTTCTCATTTTCTTTAATTCC